TATTTCCAAAAATAAAATCCTTGGTCAATTCATAACTCTAATTTTTACATATGTTGTTGTCAAGTTGGTCTAGTTTGCATACAGATTGTTGGTATTTTAAGTTTGTAAAAAAATGTAATTTTTTATTACTTTGAGTTTTTATATTTGCTTTCTGTTGTGTTTGTGACTTTTCTTTTGATATCTGTTAATAAAATCTGAAAAAAATTTTTTGTTGATAAACGTTGAGGCCCTACTGGAAGTAAAGAGATAAAATTTTGGGGATTGAAAGAGATAAAGTTTTTTCTATCTCTTTGAAATAGTCACTTTGCATACCATTTTTATCTCCAAATTTATATCTTTTTTTATACCCTATTATCCCCTATCTATCTCTTTTTATACCTATGTACTTTTATCTCTTTTTATTTCTCTTTGCTGCAAATTTTTATCCTTTTTAATACATAAAGAATTAATTAACCAATATTATTAACAATATTAAAGACTTTATGAAGTATTACAATTTCAATTGAATTTATTATTTAAAAAAAATATTTTTAGAGTTTTCGTACTTCTATTTATAACCTATTTATAACCTATTTTTAACAAATCAAGTTATTTATTTATTTGTTATGAAATTATTATTTATTGTTTAAATCTATATTTCATTTCACATTATTAACCAACATTGAAGGTGTTTACACCGAGTGGCATATATTTATACTCGTGCGCGCATAAACGGACATTCCTCCAGGAGAATAGACTTGCGCCTGCGCATAATGTTTGCCTGCAGTTGTGTAGTGAAAGAATTTGTCTTGACCACGTGTTTGCGCAGGCGCGAGTCTATTCTCCTGGAGGAATATCCGTTTATGCGTGCACGAGTATAAATATATGCCACTCGGTGTAAACTCCTTCATTGTACACACACACGGAGAAAAATGGAAAAATGATTTATGCAGTCAGTGTAGTACTCCTTTATAGAATAATATGTGACAGGTACACACTATAGTATTAGAAGTTTCATAGCTGAACACTTTGGGACTCAACACAAGTTATCCTATTCATCAGCTTAAACAAGAGTGTTTATATAGTCTAAGAGGGAATAAGAGTATAAAGAATTGGAATGAGAAATTACTTTCTCATGTAATTGTTAAAAGAACGCGGCAGTGTACAAAACACAAGTCAATAATAGAAGCGAATATTGAACAAATAGTACTCAGTCCAGTTCTTTCGAAAAATGAACGCCGTGCACATAAAGTAGATACCTACTCGAAAACCACAAGTTATTCTCTCTCTCTCACACTAATGGTCGTTCACTTATCTTACCGTTTCACTTACTCTTACTACTCTCAACTACTATGCAGTGCAGTTAAGTTCATTAAATTATTAAATATTGCTGTGAGAATAATTAATTATACATTTCATTCAAGGTCAATTCACTATTTTGTACACGAAAAAAAAGAATAATCAAATTTACCATGAGGACTGTCAAACTTAAAAAAGGTTTCAAGGTTATTAAGAAAAAATTAATGTTTTTTATTTATTTATTATTAAATTCTAATAACCGTATCAAATTTAAACTAGTTGACAATATTATTTATTCAATATTATAAATATTGTTGACATCCATACTTACATTAATTACAAAGTAAAATCCACGCATGATCTAATTTATTTCATTGGTAAGGGATGTTTCTTAAATAGGAAATTTCCCCCATCGATAAAGTGACCATACGTCCCGGATTGTGCGGGACTGTCCCGGATTTTTCCCCTTTGTCCCGCAAAGGCTAGCGACCCGCAAAACGTCCTGCATTTGACATAAAATGTCCTGCATATCCCGGAAAATAGTTAAGAATATCCTGAATCTACAGGTTAGCACATAGTAGCGTATATAAGTGTGAGAGAGATAGACTTCGTGATATTTTAAGAAAAATTCAATCGTCAGAAACATATGTGATTCAATGTTACAAAATAAGCATAATATAAATATGTAAATGTCATAAGACGAGCCTTTGTTTCAATTCTATTTTTCTATTTTCTTGTGACAAATGACCTTTTTTTTTGTTTACTAAATCATATAAATAAGCGGGTGTCCCGCATTGACACTATTTCCATATGGTCACTTTACCCATCGATTGCGTAGCCGAAAGGCTTAATGTAAAAGCGTGCGATTTATAATTATATGCGTATATTTAGTTGTATGGTTAGGTAGGTGTTCAATCCCGTATGATTGTAAGATTTTCCGATGCATTTAGTTGTTAATTGTAAGTATGAAGATGTGGGAAGAATAAAACTTGTGAATTAATGAATATGAATATATAAAGAGTGCATTTAACATATTTTTCTTTTTTTTTTAATGATTGGTTATTGTTTTTTTTATATAAAATTGACGAAGTGAATAAAAGGAAACACTCGTTTCGCGTCGCGACGGCCATTTATTTTGACAGGTTCCGCGCCTGCGTTCCCTCATTGTGAAAATTTCGAAGTAGGGGACTGAGTCCAGTTTCTCTATTATGCACACTGCAGCGCGCCTTATAATCTTCGCCTGTGTTTCAATGCTCTTTACAGTGACATTTGGAACTAAGGCCCTCTATACACTATACGCAACACCCTAAGATGCTTGATGAAAATGAATTAGTGTACTTTTACTGGACTGAGTCCAGTTTTTTCAATATTGACTCCCAGTTTTTCAAACTCTATTTTTCTCAGTGTAAAAGGAGACAAGTATGGACTGAGATTTAAATAGGGATAGAAAGGGAAAGAAGTGAATAGTAAGAGGATAAAAGGCGATAAAGTAAGGGTTATTAAAAGAGATTGAATAAAAAGGGAAGATAGAAAGAGATTGAGGGGAATAAAAAAGGGATAGCCTGGGATAGAAACAAGATTATTATTAAAAGAGATAAGTATATTCTTAGGTGAAATTAGAGTTAGAAAGAGATAGGTGTGGATATTGAAAGTATTAAAAGAGATGAAATAAAGGTTATTGAAATACATTTATACAGAAGGAGAGATAAAAAGTGATTGAAGTGATAAAGTGGGGACAGACTAAGATAGAGAAACTTTATCTCTTTCTATCTCAGAGATAAAAAAATATTCAAAGGGATAGGATTTCTATCCCTTTACTTCCAGTAGGGGGACTTCAACGTCGTCCAAAATTCAGAATTTTCTTAGAAATTCATATGTGTGTGTATACCTGAGTATTCGATTTGTGTAGATGTATAAATAAAAAAAATATAATATAAATATATAAATATATATATATATATATATATATATATATATATATATATATATATATATATATATATATATATATATATATATATATATAAGGACGTGAAATGTCCTAAGTTGAAATTTCAACTTCTTGAAAAAAATTGAAACTCGAGGAATTTGTTGTTCTATCAAGTAGAAATGTGACCTAAAAAATATTTTTGATTTTTTCGAAAAATTGGAGGGGGTAGAGGGGGGTCAATTTGACCAATTTTGCCAACACCGGATACTTTGTGAATTTTTTCTGAACATACTTGTAATGGGAAAAATTTTTTAGAATATGTTTCTGAAAGGTTTTTTCGTCTTCTTTCCAATGGTGTGTTTTATTTTTTAATATTTAAAAAATTTACCCTAATTTTTTATAGTTAATATTTAATTTTTAATTTTCCAAAAATCGGTCCGTTTTTTTTTTAATAAATTATTGCAAACGAAAGCTGAGGTTTTTTCCTATCGGCATGTAAATTTTCAGAATGCCCTTTTCTTTTGTTTTTGAGTTATTAAATTTCAAAGAATAAATTGCAGCGCGCTGCGTCGCGGTTGCACTGAGCCGCGTGGCAACCGGCGTGAAACGAGCCGCCCGGGACGCAATTTATTCTTTGAAATTTAATAACTCAAAAACAAAAAAAGGGCATTCTGAAAATTTACATGCAGATAGGAAAAAACCTCAGCTTTCGTTTGCAATAATTTATTTAAAAAAAAACGGACCGATTTTTGGGAAATTGAAAATTAAATATAAATTATCAAAAATTAAGGTAAATTTTTAAAATATTAAAAAATAAAATACACCATTGGAAAGAGGACAAAAAAACCTTTCAGAAACATATTCTACAAAATTTTTCCCATTACAAGTATGTTCAGAAAAAATTCACATAGTAGCCGATGTTGGCAAAATTGATCAAATTGACCCCCCTCTACCCCCTCCAATTTTTCGAAAAAATCAAAAATATTTTTTAGGTCACATTTCTACTTGATAGAACAACAAATTCCTCGAGTTTCAATTTTTTTCAAGAAGTTGAAATTTCAACTTAGGACATTTCACGTAAAATGCCTCATATATCTAATTTCATGGCCGCCCTAGGGACTTATTTTCAATAAATAAATAAATATTGGATCCGCTATTTTGAATTTTTGAAATATGACTTCAGATTTGTAATCAGTGACCTCAAAGACATTAGAAACCATGATTAGCAGTTTAAATTTATTGTTTTTTCAGAATTAATATTTTTTGCCAATGGTAACCTATTTTGGTTTTTTTTGGTCAACATTTGGGTCTTGTAAAAAGTAGTTAACTTAACAAATTTTATATGTTAAAAATTGTATGTTATTCTTTGACCATTTATGAAGAGAAACAGAGTAGTTCGGTTAAAAAATATTAATATCACAGGCACCACTAAATATTAATTTAAAAAAAAATAAAGAAATACGTATCTAATTTTTTTCAATTTGTGACAAAATGATACCCGGAAATGGACAAAATTCCAAAATGTCGTTTTTAACAGCCACCCTAATACATACATATATAAATAATTTTTTTATTGTCATTTTTGGAATTCTTACTGCTCGAATAGAAAAACTAAACATGAATTTTCAAATTCTATGCAATGTACAGACAATAGTCTGTTCTTATTTATAAAGATATTTTTAATCGAATTCATGATAAGTATTTTTAATCGAATTTATGGTAAATATTTTTAATCAAATTCATAGTATTTGAAATTAAGAATTATAGATTTATTTGACAAATGCTTTTTTAGATCTTCCTTCGACTGGAATTCGCCTCCCTACGACATTCCTGACATGTTTTCGAAGCCTGGCACTCCATGCAATGATTACAATGGATACTGTGATGTTTTCCAAAAATGTAGAGAGGTAAATTGAAATTTTTTTGGAAATATTTGTATAGAATATATATATTTTTAAAAACGGAAATCTTCACGGAGAGAAAAATTAAGCGTTTATAGTATGAAGAGGCGCACGTTTAATGCATGAAACTTTCCCTTGCGATTTCAGTAGGAAAATTCTAGCAATAAACGTAGGTACACAAGCCTACTACGATTGGAGGAGTTTCATGCGTCAGTTCCATGAGTATCATACCGAAAATACATGAATCTTTTGCAATCGTAGTAGGCTTGTGTTACTTACGTTTCTCGCGTGGCGCTACTGCGCTTTTCGAGTATTAATTACTTTCTATAAGAGTATGTTTGACACTTTCTTTATAACTATGAAATATTCTCATACTAAAAACAGTTGAGTTCTTGCTTTAAGCGTAGTAAAAGTTAGCGCTAGGAAAGTGTGAACTATTTTCATACTAAAACGGCTTACTTTTTCTCTCCGTGTTGATCAAGAAAAATATCGGTTATGATTCGGCTTTTTCCACACCCTTTTTTTAAATATTCTCCCTCGACCTCCACTCGTGTCACAAAAATCAGCGTAAATAAATTGGCTGCCTTTATTCCCATGTTACTTACGATATTTTTTATTCCTAATGCACAAAAGTGGCGATTTCAGATAGCAGACGACAGGGAATAAAAGTCAGTCACTTGTTCGACTTATATGAAAATGGCGGCCGTTTTCTCCCTTGGGAACAATAATGCATGGGATCAGCTGTTACGTTTGCACATGGGAGAAAATGGTCGCCATTTTCATACGGTCGAACAAATGAGTCACTTTACTCCCTGTCGTCAGCTATCTAAAAGCGCCATTTTTGTGCATGTGGTATAAAAATGTATATAAGAAAATTGTAATCACGGCTAGGTGGAAAATTGAACGATTGAAGGAAGGTAGGGCAATACAAATATTATTCTTTATTTTTGGTCCGAGAATAATTTTAAAGCTTTACAAGAAAAGCTTTTTGGAGTTTGTATTTTCACCTTTCACTATTAATTTTTTTTCTATCTCCCGGTTAAAACCGGGAGATAGATAAACTCTGATCGAGTATATTTGTTACTCTTTATTTTATACGTTCTTTAAACTAAATTTTATTTCGTCTTTATTAATTTGCTATTTTTCAGAGAAAAAAAGGACTGAATTAATTGACATTATAAAAATTTGACAAATTCAACATTTCTTTAAAATTTAATTTCAAAAAGCAAAATTAAATAACTATAAGATTTAAGAATAAAATAGTTTTCCAATTAGAATAGAATTGTTTATTAGGTAGTCTATAAAATTTTCCAAGAAAAATTATTTTTTTAATTTTAAAAATTACAAAATTTGAAGTTATTTTACAATTCCCCTTGTCCATAATGACTGACTCTCCATTAATGACCCACCCTTTTTAATTACTTAAATCCTTAACCTCAATTGTCATTCTCCAACCATTCCTTCTCACGATTTCGTCCTAACCTTTGTAACGATCTTTACGTTCACTTGCGGATCTTACCCGCGAATCGTTACAAAAATGGCAATTTACGGATTTCAATTGCCGAATTATAAATTCCACACTTCGAACTTATAATGCACCATCGATGACCCGTCTTAGGGAACTTCCCTGGCGCCAGGTAGATAAACTACCCGGGTCACGATACTGAAACAAAACAAAGCACTTTCCCGGACTAGCTCTTACCGAGCTCAATATTTTATTTACACGAAGTTACGTTTATATTGAAATAATGGGGCTCTCCTCCGCACACAGAGGAGAGAGACAAGATGAATTTAACACACAAGTAAAACAATTGAATAAAGAAAATTATAAGAACACACAAGTATATGATTTTCTTTTAAATCACTTTTCTTTTTATTTTAAACTTTGTGAAGAGAACTGAGAACTTCCACACGCCGGTGATTTGCGTCGGTTGTAACGAAACGGCTCTCTTTCATTACATTTACAACATAGAAAAATATCATGAATAAAAAAAAAGATCAAATTAAAAGACACAAAAAAAAAATATAATAAATATTTGCACCAAAGTTGCAAATAAAATTTCTTTTTGTTGACAACTTAAAGACGAGATTTTTTTTACGATTTCATGCACATCCGATATAAAACAATCATTTTCATCTTCTGCATATAGGTGAGAAATTTGAAAGATTTGATTAAACTCGCTTATTTTATCTATGTCTACATTGTCACTTTCGTTTTCAAGGTCATTCACGGGTCTAGTTGTCATTTCATTCAAATAACCATCATTAATTTCGGTCTTACATTCTTCCTCGACATGCATCCTGTCACTTTCATTAGCGCTATTATTTATATTTTCTATTGCATCCACAAAATCTACAACTTGAATAAATAAAATATCGTCCTCATAGCTAGATCGAATCCTATTTGTTGAATCATCACCATACCGAAGTAAACAATGAGGGACTGAATAACCGTCAATTTTCATCGCATGAGTGTGAAAATCCAATACAACCTTATGTTTGAGAAGCCAATCATTTCCGAGTATAACATTAGAACTCAATTTTGGGATAATCAGAAATGAAACATTAATCTTTAACTCTCCTAATTCAAGCTCAAGGAATGCTTGATTTTTTACCGGAGTCTGTTTTCTTCCTAAAGCCGGCACTATCATTATATTACTAACCGGTAGAATACACGGAAAAAAATTTCTTATAGAAAACACAAACTTTTTCGTAAAATATACAAATAGGTTAAGTTGTGCTTTATGCAGGCGAGTTTTGTGTTTCCAACAAGCTGGTTTGTGTGTACCACAAACCAATAAGGTAGTTCAAGTTGGGTGGGGGAAATCCAATATGGCTGACATCAGCTGATTTACCGGAGGACAAACAATGCATTGAATTCAATGGGACAAATCAGTTTTTTAACCATAACTTTTTAAATATTCATTTTTGAACCATAGTGTAATGGAAAATTATTCTTTATTTATCGAAATCTATTTTTTAAAACAATAAAATTTAATTTTTTGGTTTTATTGTTTTAAAAAATAGATTTCGATAAATAAAGAATAATTTTCCATTACACTATGGTTCAAAAATGAATATTTAAAAAGTTATGGTTAAAAAACTGATTTGTCCCATTGAATTCAATGCATTGTTTGTCCTCCGGTAAATCAGCTGATGGCAGCCATATTGGATTTCCCCCACCCAACTTGAACTACCTTATCTGTTATAACACCAAGAAATCCACGCATGCGCAAGAAAATTCAAGTGAACGTCTGCTTGTCGTCTGCTGCGTGACTGTTTAAGCGGTTGAATCATAAACTGAAGTATAATTTTCGTGTTCTCAAGACTAAAAAATGTGAGGTTAACCTCTGACAATATACTAATATTCCAGTCGTACCAACCATATGTCGACTATGTTGTGTAATGGTTTTTAGCACTTTTTCAAAAAATTAATTAAACACTTTTTTTAATATTTAAATCTTGAAAAAATTTTATCATTAATTTTTACATCTTTTTTTAATGTTTTTTTTTTCTTTCAATAAAATAAATATATAGGTTTTTTGATTAAAATTATAAAACTGAAATTTTTTTTGAGGTTGCAAACATGCAAGATTTAACATGGGAGCAATAGGAACGAGAAATCCCCTTGCCCCTCACCACCGCCGTGACAATCCTTAAAAGAATTGAGTTTACAATTTTCAAAAATAGATGAACTTAAAAGGCTTTAATTTAAAATTTCATAAACTTTCAATTTTTAATGAATGTAATTAAAAACTTTAAAAAACTTAGATATTTTCAAAATGTTAATAGTTCAAATTCTTCTTGAAATTAGTTAAATTTATCAATATATCGTCGCTTGGGTGCAGAAAGATGGTAATTCAGACTAATTAACAAATAGAAATTTCTTTTATACAAAATTTTTTTTCACACAAATTTATGTTTATTTAAGTAATATATGTCGATTTTGGTAAAAATAATTTGAATTTAACAATTACCATTGTTATGAACAATTACATGAACAATAATCAAGTTTCTTTGACATTTGTAAACATTTTATGCATTTTTTAAACATAAAATGTTTATATAATATGTACATTCTTTCAAAAACTTTAAAAATTTATTAGCACAAACAATTACATTTGTTATAAACAAATTATTTACTTTTTAAACAAATAAATGGCTTATTTCGGCAAAAAGAAAAATTATTTTTCTTATATGTTAACGAGTTTAAAGTCATGTAAAGCTCTACTTGATTATTGATAACTAGATTATTGTTCATGTAATTGTTAATAACAATGGTAATTGTTAAATTCCAAATAATTTTTACCAAAATCGACATATATTACTTAAATAAACATAAATTTGTGTGAAAAAAAAATTTTTTACAAAAAAAATTTCTATTTGTTAATTAACTTTGTTTGCAACAATTTAAATAAATTGTATTACACATTATTATTTGTCTGGTGGTCATGCTGGACTAATTTAAATTGATTCCAATCATCTGCAACGAAAAAATAAAAAAATTAACATGATTTTTTCTAAAAATATTGTAAATTATTAACTTTGAATAACAAAAAAAAATATAAACAATTTAAAATTCAAAAATTGGTTTAGAGGAATCTCTTATAAATTTTATTCCCTTCAATTTAAGACCAAATCCATAAAAATCCGATAAAATTTGTAGGTTCCAGACATATTTAAACAGTAAATTGTAAAAAATGCCAATGTGCGCGGGGCGAGTTTAACGTTATAATTATAATGATATAAAGCCCTACACGGCTGCAGTTTTTAATTAATAACTTTTTTCTAATTGAGGCTTATTTTTTTCGAAACGGTTTTACACTCGGAGACATTTAAGGAATAGAATAAAATTTTAATTTTTTTGTTAGGACGTAAAGAACATATTTGTTTATTAACATTTTATAAACAAATTATATAAAAAATTATAAAAAACAAAAAAATTTAAAAACAAAAAATATATTCAAATAGTACAATCCAAGACGAAAAAACCCATATTTTAATTT